TTCTTTAGGATATGTAACATTGAAACCTAGTTGCTGTGGAAATAGCTAACCCTGCAGACAGAAATACCTGAATTCCAATGCCAGCTCTGCCACTTAACACCATGATCGCCCTTTAATTTTCTGCCTAAAACCACTTCCTGATAATTTCTTCAAAGAGTCCTGGTGGTGCAATATGTCAACTAGTGTAGCTTTAACTTCAAGGTTGAAAGTTCAAATCCATCTGCTGCTCCAAAGGAGAACGATGAGGCAGTCTTCTCAAAACTCACTACCATCAAGTTTCTTCTGACTGTAAGTGACCATATAGGGCAGAGTAATACTCCTGTGTGTGTTTTTGAGGATGTACATATTTGTAGAAATAAATAACCTCCTCTTTCTCTTGTGGAATGGCTGATGGGTTCCAAGTGCAGATATTTTGGTTAGCAGACCACACATACCCTCTTACACCGCTCGGCTTTAGGACCTGTTTCTGGAAAAACTAGCTTTGCATACTCTCTGGAGCATCATGCAACTCTGACTTAGGGGGTCACTGTGAGGTGGAATCAACTCCATGGCAACCGATTTAAACGTCTTAGAATCAATTTGCATAATTCTTCAGGTCAGATATTGGAGATGATTCATTTAGTTTGGTTTAGTGGTTTTACTCATAATGTTTTCTAAACATGTTCTATGAGTTGTAGAATAAGAACATACATCCATATTTTAAATATGATTAATCTAAAACCACAATGTTTAGAATTTTAATGAAAATCATAAAGCTTTCAGTTGGAACAAGTACTTCTAACATCTAACATTTGGTTCAATATATTTATCCTTGTCTTTTCTTTTTTAGAGCTGCACTTTTCAAAGATGCTGGGAGAACTATCTAGTTTTATCTATTTCTTTCCTAGAGCATCATTCAGCATTATACAATTTGCCTATTTGTATAAATATTTGAAAGCTTTTGATATAACAGAAAAAAATATACTCCTCATTATTTGCTTGTGGGAACTGCTTTATTTGTGCCTAGTCTGTCCATCTTTGCTTCAATGAATGTTATTCCTCTGTAATATATGAGTCTGGCATTTATATATATATTTTTTCTTTTTTAACATTTTATTAGGGGCTCATACAACTGTTATCCCAATCCATACACACATCAATTGTGTAAAGCGC